AGAGAGTTATTAATGGGGTGGGGAGAGGGGGAAGAAAAAGTATGTGAAGGAGAAAGAAGGGAGGCGTCAGCAGTAGCCTGTTTTCGCTTACCCGCCCTGCTGTATGCAGCAAGTAAGGCGACCCGGCTGATGGTACCACGCGACGGCCGATGTGGCATGAGAATATTGTTAGTTGTGTAGGTCATGGTTGTACGAGGGCTGGGATACTGCCAGGGCGCCCACACCTAGACAGCGAAGAGGTGCAATGGCGAATGATACTCTCCGGTTGTCCAGGCTCAAGAATGGCGTTTGGTTGAGTTATTCCACCGTGAGCCTTTGACTCAAAAGTCTGGAGGGATATCGGGTTTTGTTCAGGGACCATGCTCCTAGCCTCTGACTCGAAAGTCCAAACCATGAGGCAGCAGTACTTAGGGTTTTCTTGGAGAACCCAGGAACCAATGACTGAATGGTCTTATCCACTTGGTTTCATTGGTCTGGCCTGGCCCGAGGACGCAGGGAATAAGGCATTAATTACTATCTCGCTGCTTGAGCGGCTGCGCACAGCAAATGCCTTTTGAGCAGCACCGGACTCTTTATTTTTGAAAATATTCTGAGCATATTAAAAAATTCGCCGGTGGTCACGGTCAGCCGTTGGGTGATCGCGGCCTGCGGTTTTTAGGGCCGATTACTTCTAACCCGCCCTTTCTCGAAGGAAGCAGCATGACTGTTTCCATGCCTTACTGCCCTCACACCTTTGTCTCAGATGACATTACGATATTACCTCCATCCTTGTAATACGGTTTCTCGCAGTTCTTCGTCGGGCTGCTGGTCTTCTTGGAATGGGCTAACCTGGGAGAAACTGAGTTCCCGCCAGTGTAGGCTGCAAAATCACTGCAGCACATATGCCCGACCAAGGCGACAAGGTTACAGATTTCAGTCGGGTGTGTGGAAGAATAGAAATCATCTATCAAATCATGCCCGTCAGTGTGCTTCGTTCGTATGGTTCAAATGGAGTCAGTCGAAATGAGGGGCGAAAAAACTGAACGACTGTAGAAATATTCGTGTCCGTGTTCCTGGATGTACCCGGTCGGTTCATCTGATTGGGAGCTTTACTTCGCGTTTAATGCAACAGTACACTAGAAACTGGATAATAAGTCTCTTGTAAGCAGCGCTATATTAAACCTAATTTTGAAGTGGGCTTGTTTAACGAGTTCATTATATTTCCAGTGTGCGAAGCCATTTGGAGTTGATATCAATTCGGAGCGACTAGAAAAAATCTGGAATAGATCTTGCCACACATTATTATTAAATGATCTGTCACGTGTTTAATTTGTATTAGCATATTGTTTGCCGTAGAAACTTTTTGCGCAGTTTACTTTCCTTCTGCACAACTTTTTTCACAGCGCACGTCTCCACGAACCACAATCAGAAGACTCAGATGATGACTGCGTATGTTATTATGTATATGTGTATTATGTATTATGCATCGCCCAACGGATACAGTCTGTTGTGGCGTCTAGTTGAGGGAAAACGGCAGCATTCCCACAAATCTGCATGGCTGGACACGTTTTTGTTCTTCGCAGTTATCTTCATGTTTAGTCGTTTTCTGGATTTGCGGGCTAACTAATAAGCCGAGTCTCTCGTTACTGTGACAGGTTGAGGTCAGCAGTAAGCTGTTTGTTGTAAGCCTTAGGACCCCGTAAAAGAGTAACACTGGTCTGAATAATTCATTGCGTTTCAGGTTTTCCGCTGTCATATTTCACCGTCCAGTCACATTTCCTACGCGATTACTTACCAGATCTTTTAAAACTTTACTCGTAATCTGGTTCGCGGACATCATGTGTAGTGGCCCATCGCAACGCAACAGTCTTTTGTAGCTGCTTGCTCAACGAAAGACCATCGTCCATGTTTGAATTTTGGTTAATGGGGCATCACCTTCCCTACGGAACTGAAGTGGCGATAGCATTTTGCTGCCTTGCGGTTGGGCCATTGGTTTCGTCTAGGAATGATAGGTATCTGAGATATTCGAGCACGACCCTGGCCGGTGCACTCTGCTGTGTAACTTCTGCACTGCATAAACTCAGGTTACATCCGAAAATTCTCAGGACAGTTACACCACAGTTTGTGGTCAAAACTACATCTCAAGCCGTTAGCCACTTTGTTCTGTGATATTTGTTTTGCTTCTGTGCGCGCACTTTTTGGTTATAGTCCTGAAGCGTTTCTTAGCTATATTGTTATTGTTAGGTCGTGATTGCGTGACCAGGTACGTCGAGTGACATATGACCTTAAAGCTTGAAAGATGACACTTACAGCACACCTTTACTTCAGGCATTTAGATTTTCGCAGGTCAGTTTCCACCTAGAATCCGGACAACATGATGCTAGTCCTAGTATCTCCGTCAAACCTCAGGACAAAGCGTAGGTTAATCGTGACGTTTCCGGTCCCAAGTGGCTCTCATATCTGTAATAATGGTGCCTCCTAGTTTCTTGTGTGGCTCATGTGCTTTTCGAAGATAAGAAAGTACCTTGTACCTAGCAGTTACCCAGGTTATCAGCAACTCATCACTCTTCGGAATAAGAAATTCCGAACTTGGGTCCTAGGGTCATAAGAGTGATCTTTCTGCGTTTTGCCGTATCCGCGAATGGCCTTCTGTGTCTGCTCTCGTGGTTTTCAGAGTTTGGCGTTCAAAGTGAACTTAACTTTGACTCAGATGACTATTTTATTTCTTCCTTTACTTTGTGGACCTTCTTTCGTGTGTAACACTGTTTTGTAGGAAGTCTGGACGGACGAATCAGAGGCACCAGAGGTTCGTTTGTCCTCATGTTTTAATTCGTTGATTTCTAGCGTCCTGAATTTCCAGAATTTGAGGCAAAAGTTTCAGACGCTATCGCACAGCTTGGTGGATGCGTATTTCCGAAACTGAATTGGAGCGCGCCAAAGGTTTCTTCTCGGTATACTGTTTATCGTTTTCTCTCACAGGATGCATATTGGTTGTTGGGTGATAACTCGCTTAGGTGTCGGAGTTTTACTGATGTCTACCTTGTCCTCAAAGCGTCCGATTTTATTGCGCATGATCTCACTGCTCCGTAGGTTGTTGCACCTCGAGAAAAAAGACGCTTCAAACAGCTTTGCCCTCTGTACAGATTTCCCAGTAGAAAACTTACATGATCCAGTTGAAGACTACCAACCACAACTCGTAGTCCGACGTTGGAAAGATTGTCGACCAGATTCAGAATTTCGCTGTTTTGTGCGGAAGAAAAAACTTATTGGTAAGTTTGTTCGGTGTGCTACCCGTATTTTGTGACTCATCCCGATTGCCCCACAGAGGGTTATCGGTTTTCCTGTGGTCTGCGAACACAAAGTTTATTGAAACTTCTGTTACTTGTCTATGCAATTATGGAGGTTTCTCAGCGAACGCCGGGAACACTGAACGGCATATAAATGACAGCATAGGAGGTATTCATTTTTTTACCTCCGTTCCCTCCCACTGTTACAACAGTAATTTGTCTTCTTAGAGCCCAACGGTTTACGGGTTATAACTTGATTGAGCTGTTACAGGCGGTAATACGTTTTCTCGAGTTGAGGTTTGACCACTTAACTCATCCTACGCAGACTACAACTAATGTTTGTTCAAATAATAGAACCTTCTCGTTAGAAAACAACAAGACCAATGCAATGAACTAATGACCAAAAACCATTTCTCGTGAAATCGATCTAACAGCCAGTATGGTTCAGCCATACAAGCGAACCATACCACTGACTGTATTTTTGCACGCGAAACACCCACCACTACACCATCCATCAGACAGACCAAACATGTTTTCATCTCGCTTAGATTGACAGGTTTATTTGAAGGTTTTCCAATTGGAATTCGGTGAACCACGCAGTTCCTGGCTGTTTCTCATCCTCCTTTCGAACAGCCATCAGTGTAATGATCCTTCTCTATCCAGACTGGTGTTTTCACCCGTGATTTGCTCCTCTGTGCTTCACGGCGAGTGTTAATCCACAAATACGATCCAGCATGTGACTGTTATCTTCTTGGCTAGTACAGCTTGTTTTTCACTGAAATAAACTGCATCAAATCCATGGATCAGCTCTAATGTACTGTCCACCGATTTCACATTAGTAAGACGTCGAGTTCCTTGGGTGTGAACACGGCGGGTTAGCATCTATTTCCGTCAAACCACTTCGACGGACCCTCCGCTCACAAGAGGTACCGCCACGTGCGCTCTACCCTCACCAGCGTGCACAACCAGTCGAACCCCCTGTACACAGTGTGAACCCGGGGTAACAAAACCAGAAGGGAAACAGTGGGAAAGCAGTTTCAGCTATCGGCGCATTATTGTTCAACCAATAAACGACTGAAACACAGTGAATGCGAATGTGGTGACCGGCATCAGCCACAAGACGAACCCAAGGCACGTACTAATGGCCATCTATTTTCTACTACAGTAGTCTGGCACCGTCATAGGCTTCGGAATATCCAGCATCATTGACAGGTGTATACACAAAGTGCAACACCGCAAAATACAAACAAAAGGCATCTCAGAATGGCTTTCTAAACAGATGGTGAATTTGCCGCTGAACAGTGCTTCACTTTTAACACGAAAGTTTGGTCAAGTTCCTTTGGCCAGTAGATCAGTGCTGAGCGTGAATCAGAAGTTATTGTAGGTTTGCGCTTGTGTCTGAATGTTATGGCCGATGGTTGGGGGAGGGGTGGTATTTGAATCCATTTCGTTCGTGTTTGTCTCCTTGATCTTGGGCGTCTTTTGTAAATTCTCTTGGTCTGTGCGGATTCGTAAGCGTTATGACGATGTGGTTAGGAGTTATGACTGCGTGGTGGTGTGCTACTTGGTTCCCGGTCTGCTTTAGAACTCGGTCAACTCAGTAACCTACTCACTTGGCCTGATGACGGTTTGTATCAAAAGCGGAACTTTGCCCAGTTGCAGCTCCAACGATTGCTTACCAAACCCTTCTGAAACGACAACTTCTCGATCGGTTGATTGATTGACTGTAAATGAAAACAAAGTAGAAATGGTGAAAAAACGGCAACTCACACTAGGTACTTAAAGTGGGTCACCACACGAAATTCCCGTTTGGGTGGTGGTAATTCCCTGGTCGCCGACGCGGCTGTCTAACAGCGGCTGGCTTGGAGATACGAGCATACTGAAAGATAGCGACCAGACCAACGAGTGTGTGCATACCTTGCCTCTTTTACTTCCAGCCATACCGGTCGTATTAGAGTAGTGGTGTTTTGTGACCGCTGTACTTTTGTCCGCTTTTGGCCTACGGTCGTAGAGTCGATCATTACAGTGTTAGTCAGAGGGGGGGTATTTAAAACTGCTTATTCAGGAATCATTGTTCTTGATCGATTGAGCAACACTGCAGGTTGGTTTCGCTCGCCATTTGTGCTCAGAGTAATGAAACTTTCTTTTTTATGATAGTAAGGGGAATTTCCCATGAGTGAATTAAGTAGCTTTTGTTCCAAAACCTATTTGAAAGGACCGACACGATGAAACAACGCATGTTTACGAACGGAGGTGCCGTTAACATTAGACTCATCTGAATCGATTAATTTACGATTTTCGACCTTCCAAATAGTACATTACTTTTCACTAATCTCACTGATCAAACAACACGATTTGGCATGCACTTCATACCTGTGATATATAAATTTGGGTGGGTTCAAGGTCAGGTGGAATGCAACCCGGGATTCCTGTTGCAGATCATCCAGTTGGTTGCAAAAGTCAACTACTTGGATAAGAAACCACTTCTGGAATTGGATGCATACGTTACGCATGAGCTAAAATATCCAATCCATTGAAGTGTGAGTGAATGCGCGCTAACTAGCTGACGTAATTCTTACAGGTTTCAAGACTGCTCCATCTTAGCTTGGATACAGCTCTCCTACTGTAGAATGAAGCACAGACAATCAACGGCTGCTTTCGTTCATTTCAGCATAGCGCAGGGGTGAGGGAGCTCGACCGCCCCAGTGGGAAACTTCGGGAGCTCACTTTGGGGAGACCTGAGTCTGATCCCCACGGGCGTCTTAAATTTGGCTGCCGCCCTTCCTGTGTGTTTTTAATGTAAACGACTGTCCGACAGCCCACGACCGGTTTCTCCATTCTCGAAGCTCATCGAGTATGTGCAGGCCTAGAATTTCTGTAAACTTTGTGCTCTGCTTGAACCCAAGTTGTACGAAATTTATGATATACACACACTTGTGCACCAATTCTGTTTTAACGGGAGGCTCAGCTGAATCCCAGCTGAACGAAAGGTTCAACTGGCATTCAGTTGAGTATCCCGTTAAAACCAAGCTAGAATGCAAAGGAGCGCATTTCACGAATTCCCCATAACTTGGGCTCAAGTATAATGTAAACTTGACGGAAACTCGAGTACTGCACCTACCTGATGGGCCACAAGAAAGGCGAAATCTTTCATTTTCATCAACCGTATGAGTAGTTTTCCTTCAAGAAACTATACTGCGACATCTCGAATATCGCACCAACGTGAGCATGTGACAACCCTTATGGCAGCACATTCATTGCAAGAATTTTGTAAACGAGGAATTCAGCTGGGATTTCGTTGTCTCCTGTTAAAACGAAGTTGACGTGCAAATGAGTCTATTTCTTGTAAACGTTCTAATAAAAACAGTTCTAAAACACACCCATCCCTTAAAAAGATGTAATCGTTTTTACTGTCTCCTTCGACCGACGTCAAAGTGACCTTCGTAGTCTCTTTCAACTTTCCCTGTTCTCAACTTCCTTCTCAGAACCCCTCCCTGCTTGGAAATATAGGCGTGGTCCCATTCGGTTTTCATAGTTGGGCGCCTGTCATCCCATTTATCTTAGACAGAGTGAGATAGAAGACAAATCCTCCTTCCCTCATCCGTGTGTTGTTCGTTGCTTATACCTTCTATTATTGGATTAACTTTTCTTCAGTTTTCTGTCGAGGATTTTTCTGAGAAAGTACGCTGGTTTGTTGTCAGGTCACTGAAACACGCACTTTAAGAAATACCTCTGTCAGTTCCGAGTTGGATGCGTTCCAATTCAATCCTGGGGATGTTTTGTCGGTTTTCTCCCACTCCACTAATTATTCGGTGACACTTGCCTTCTTAGTTCTTTCGCGAGGAACATTAAGCAGGCTGATCATCAGAGACAGTAGACGCGTGATGGCTTTACTGATAACTTTGCACTTGAATTTACCCTGGCTGCAACCAAGTGTATTGTAATTTTACTTGGCTAGCTCTAAATTCCATTCATCAGCTGGAAAGCTTAGTCAGTTTGTATTCTTTCACAGTAGTACCGTACCTGCTGTTTTCTTTTCAGCAATATCTCAGCGCCATCATGACGCCTACTTCGAGTCGGCAGTTCATCATAAGGAATCAATCGAGAAGAAGTTATGTACTTTCTTTCAGAAGCACATTCGCGATCATTTTCCGATTTCCGACTGTAAGTTTGTACCCGTATGCCTCCTTAGCTTTCTCAGATGTTATAGATTTGTATTACGAACATCAGGTGAGCAAAGTTGATTTGATTTGACTATTGTTTCCATAGTCATCTCGGAGTCGGGTCGACCTTATTGATTTTAATGTATTCGGACAACCAACGGATTCTCTCCTGTTCTCGTGGACGGAGTTGGAACAGGTGTCCACGACGGAAGAGGTGTGTTCATTTTCCCTATTTTGTCCTGGACTTTTAGCGGTTAGCGATGCATGCCTTTTTCTTCTGGGTATTATCGTCTATCGTTTCCGAGTGTCCGCATTTCATTGTTGTTTCCATTATTTTATCATACTACGCAAGTGTCATGATATTCCCCCAATGCCACTTCAAGTGGCAAACTCCTGGGGTTGTGCAGATTGCACGATTAGACATTATTAATGAAGACTCCGAATTTTCGGATGTGTTTTATGTGACGTGTTCAAATATCATAATTGACTAGGGCTGGACAGTTGACCGTTTTAGCGACAGGTCTTGTTATGCAATCTGGGTCCGTTTCTCTTTCGCAAGATCTTTTTACAGTAGTGAAAAAATGCCCCAACCCGAAGATTGTTTCCGTCCCTTAATTGTCCGTTTAGCAAGACAATCGGAACCCGTTCGATTTCATTATCTCCGGCTTGTTGTATAACCTTCGTTTATTCTATGCTATCGTTTAGCTTTATTTGCGTATTTGAAACCAGATGTTTCGACGCAGCTGAGCTCTCAGTTGCCGAGTTAGGTAAGAGAGGTAGCGAAGAACATTTTTGCATGACGTGGAATGCGAGAGTGGTCCTCATAAGACTGGAAACAACATCCATGGAGAGATAACGTAAACAATGCAAATCACTCATTCGGACGATCTCATCCAAGAGCCAGTTAAGTCGGTTGCCACACTAGCGGGACAGAAAAATATATCCGTAGTATACGGATCGCACCGGAGCTACACAGTTTCGCCAACCTGCTTTGTCATTGGCTCTGGGAAGGAGGGTCCCTCAAGAAAACTTTAACAACCGCTGTCTCCCGGTTCAGACTCTTGAGCCAAAAGCTAGGGACACGGTCCCCGAACGAAACCTTACGTCCTCCCACTGCCTTGTGCGTCAGACCTTTGAGTCAACCAAACACTTTTTCGGCCTGGGCGACCGACATGCTAAACCATTAAACGGTTGAAAGGTCTGCTAGCGGACCGAGACAGCAATGCACTCTTATTACCCGCCGCATTCAATTTTGCTTGACAGTTGATCTATAACTCTGGACCGACGGCAACGGGAATCCGCATGGTGGTGTCTGTTCTACGGATTGGATCCATCCTTTCGAGAAACGGAGTGTTTCCTGTGTGGATTTGGAGAAGTGATTTCCTCGATAAGGGTTACAGTGAAATACAAATTCCGCGCTTTAATATTTTCTCCTAGACGGGGTACTGTACACACATCTTCAACCTTTTTTTCGTAATTTATTCACTCGGTGCAACCGCCGTGATTCCTTTCTGGAACCATCCGCCCGGACGAATTAAACCGAATACTCACCATCCATCCACAGTTGGTATTACTCGATGTAATCAGTAGTAGTTCTTTCAGCGGAATTGGAGTGTCACTCGGTAAACACTGTAGACAAATGAATTTTATCGTTTTTTGTTAAAGAGAACGTGAGACGCGCTGGCCAGTTGTCAGTAAAAGTGATGTATCCCATCAACTGGGCATCCGGGTGCGTAGGGAGGATCAATAAGATTTTGGACTTTTAGTAAACTACAACCAAATTTCGCAAAAGTGCACACAGCCTGTTCGCTCCTGGTCTGTGTTTCAAAGTGATTTGCACTTTTCCACGGTTATTTGATAACTCAATGGATTTCTTTGGCAGTATTACTACTCCAGGCAGTGTGTGGACACGTAGAAAAACGCACGACAGTTACGATATAAAATAGAATCCAAAGGTTCGCCTCGCTGCTTGAAAATTCCATTCACTGATACGAGCTGAGCTTGGATTTCTAAATCCCCTGACCAGACTCGCTGCTAGATTGGGTCTATGGAAATTGAGTGTCCTGTCCTTCCGATGTCTCATATTGCCAGGTTATCTTTCCTCGACGTTTGTACACTGGAACGTGCGTAGCAGTCAACATACTGTCGGCGACATAGATGATTGGTGCATTTATTCCTAATCGGTTCGTTTCCCAAGCGGTTTGAACACTAATAGAATAATACGACTACGGTTGATAATCTAAATGACTGGGCTTTTCTTTACACAGAATCAGCTTGGCTGCAGTATACTCTGGGGTGGCAGAATGTCTTTGGGTCATCATCATCACTATCGACAGCACGAAATAAGTGTTCAACACTGATGCTTCGCTGCCGCATTTGGGTAGCACGACTAGAATGCTGCCCTTACACGGGTCGGAACGCTCATTCGAACTATGTGATGGACATACTCACACAACCTGGTAGTGGCGACCTCTGCAGGTGATACTCTTCACTGCCATTAGATCTATCTATTATCTCTGTTAGGTCGGCACGGTGGACTTCTCGTCGCCCATGGTTTCTGTGAACCAGTTGATTGTATTTACGTTTCACTCAGGTGGAGGTTGGGGCGAGATGGCTCAAGTGGCTAGAGCGCGAATTTACTGACCGGAAGGTCCGTGGTTCGAACCCGACCTCTGCCTCTCGACTTCCCCTGTCTAGGCTTGGGCAACCTGGCAGTATCCCAGTCCTCGTGCTTCCTTCGGGTAGCATGGCAGCTAGACACCGGAAAGGTGTTACAGCTGAACGGTTTTTTTTCCGGTGGAGGTTTGAATCTTGCCAACTGTTGAATATTTGGGCTAAAGCGAGCAAGCACTAAACGAATTCCATTATTTGTGGTAGGCATGCGTCTTATCCGTTCCTTGCGACCCATGGACACCTATGCAAACCCTAGACTAGATGCTGAGTCCTACCATACGGTGCGAAAAATCCTGATATTCACTACTTCAAGTTCAGTTGAGCACCCGTTCCGAGCGGGTTAAATTGATAAATTCGGATAACAACGTTATAAGCATATCATGCGCAAAAAGCCGCGCACTAGTGAGAACTCGTCTGTATTGGATAGGCGATGAGATCAGGTCACATATCGTTACCATTCGGTTCCCGGAAATTTGAGTGCTTTGCTAGAGATGTCAGTTACAAATGTTGGACTACGGGCTCGAGAAGCCGTTTGGGATCAAGCCAGGAGCTCGTGCCATCAAAGGCACATATCACCTCGTTCAACTGGTTTGATTTCTGGGCAAAGAAAACACGGGGACGTTAAAAGAATAGCCACAGAAAAGTTCGGTTGGGGGGCGAGATGGCCCAAGTGGTTAGGGCGCGAATTTACTGACCGGAAGGTCCGTGGTTCGAACCCGACCTCTGCCTCTCGACTTCCCCTGTCTAGGCTTGGGCAACCTGGCAGTATCCCAGCCCTCGTGCTTCCTTCGGGTGGCATGGCAGCTAGGCACCGAAAGGTTGCTACAGCTGAACAGTTTTTGGTTGGTATCACCCATCCAGCTACTCAGCACAAAATTCTCACGGCTAGTTAGTTGATTTCAACCGTCCTGAATTCTCACTTAAATTCCATGATACAATCTTGCTACAGTTTTTACTATGATGTCATCGACATTTCGATCCATGACCACTTAGCCTTTCTTTTTAATTTAGATCCCTCAGCCAGTATTCCGAGTTCAAGAAGACCCCTCAATCCGACCAAATGCTTTCAGACAGTACAGCGTGCCCGTCGATTTGATTGACATTGCGTCTGGTTCCGATCCACGCAAGATGATGGACTTTGTTCAGGCAGTACGTTAAATATGCGTATTAGCGTACCGACAAACTTGATGTTTTGACATCTGATGCTTGAATGTTGGGGTTGGTCAGATGGTAGTTGATGTGTTCGTGACGCTTGGCAATTGGCTTCCGAAAGTTTCTCCATCATCCGATCAGACATCGTTGGGCGCGGTCGAGTGGCTGATTTCTCCACTTCTGACTGTGTTTATGTGGTTTCTAATGAGGAGTTAATACCTACGATGTAAGTGGTTGGTTGTGGAGTGACTAGCATGTAATTTAGACAGTCCTCTTAGGATTCGTGTCGCGTTGTGGTCTTGTTATCTTGTATCAGATTGGCTCTTTGAGTACCTCCATTTCAGCAGTTCTTCTCTCTTCTTCAAATCTGTCCATTTTGCTTTTCTCGCGTTCTGCATTCTAGTCAGCCTTCCTATAATGTGGTTAGTGGAGCACCAGCGTCATATGCAAAATCCAATATAGTGACTGTGACAAACACAATATTGGACAAAAGTGAAGATGTATACAATCGGCCCAATGTCCATGTACCATCCCAAATAGGAACAAACAGTGAACATGAGTTTGTAGAAGCGTGGCATTCAACTGAGGAAGCCATCAACAAACACATTGAGATCGACCCAATCTACCGGCCTCAGGATTAAAGAACTTCGAAGCGATCCGGTTCAAAATCTACACAAGAAGTCACAAGAAAAACCAATAGGGTCGTCTAAGTGGACACAAAGCTTAGCGGATAAAACCAAGACCACCGAAATTCTACCCAAGTAAATCAGAAACCCAAAAGAATAAGAGATTGGGTCAACCAGAAAGGTGCCTCATGAACTGGTCGAGAACCAGAAAATCAAACAGCGCAATGAACAACGCAAATGAGCCAATCAAATACGAAAGAAATATACTAAAATCGGGTGCCCAGTCGACTAGTCAAATGACGCGAAGCACAAGAAAGTCAAAATATACAGCTCAATAAAAGAACAGGACTGCTGCAATGAGGATACTCGACTAACTAGCCTGATGGAAGCTAATCAGAACAGCGTGCAACGCAAATCCTGGCCGCATTATATAAATCAGGTACTAGTCAATCCGCAGACAACCAGTCACGTCGTAGTTATTAACTTATCTCTGGGAGTCATATGAACACAAAAGCAGTGGAAGAATCGTCCACCCGACTGCACCTGACGATATCTCTTCGCATGGTGGAGGAACGTCTGCGAGCCAGTCCGAAGCTTGGCGAACACATCAATAGCCATCCGGCAACAGCCAGTCAATAGGTATCATATTTCGATTGGATAATTTGGTTCTTGATTGTCTGAAATGAATCCTAGAAGTCATCGTTTTACCTGGTTTTTAATATTTCGGCATTCGAACACTATTCCTTGAATGAACGGAAAAACACGCCCAGATGCGGACCCGAAAAGTCGACCTCGTGCTTACTGCAAGGGTGCTCTACTCAGCTACCAATGACGTTTGTTTATCGTCACGACCATCTACCCGAACTTCACACCCACCATTTTTCTGCACGTTGGATCAACACTTGACATCTGTCACTACCGTTTGTCACCAATCCCCCTGTGTGACTTCCGCACGTTGATATTGTGCGGATACCGAAAGGGATTTTCTGGGTCCTTGGAATGAGGCGTACGAGTACACGCATTATGTACCAGTAGTAGTAACCAGCTTCTTTATAGGAAGCCGGTAATGAGGAAGTATTTTTCATCTAATGGACTCAAAGAATATCACATACCGAGCCGGCTCAAGCACTGAGTGAGTGGTTTAAAAGCTTTTAAATTACCACAGCGCTGGCACCAACCATCGCCATTTCATCGACTCACGCTGTATACACTGTTCATCAAACTAGTAGTGTTAGCCATGCAGTCTCAATCTGACTTGCATCTGCGGCAAACTTGTATAGAAAAGGAGATGTATAACGGCTCTGTGGAACTCCAATGGCGGTGGATGTGGAATTCCGCCATGAGTTTATACTGCAGCTATCGCGTTATAGCTACATATTCGTCAGGTGCTCCAGACGTCGAAAGATAATCCCAAAATCTTATTCTACCGGTAGAATCTAAGGTTGCATGTACATCCAGGAAAACCACAGTGATCGGTTGCCATGGACAGTGCGATATTCTAGAACCCAGTGAGGGTACAGTTGAGGTAGATCTATCTATCCGGCTTGCTTGTCGCGCGCATGATCTTTACGATACTGGCACAACCTTTGGAGAATTACAGAAGGTAGCGGTTACGGTTTTCTGTTTATGGTGGCTTCCTCTTGCTTCCTATTTTACATGCTAATACAACTGTAAGATCACTACTCGGCGACTGAAGCCGTGGTAAGTGGAGCTACTATATCGGATACAACTATGGCGCCTGTCGCCATAACACTCAAACTCGGCAACATATCATGTTGACTGGGTTATCGGTATAGTCACTGAAACTTCGCCGGCAGACTGTACTGCACCTATGCCTCTCCGACCGAGGAGCAGAGCCTCGGGATGTTAGCTAGGTGATGGATGGTGGATAATGGCAAAAACACATAATGATGAAGGTTGAACGGCAGATTGCACTTCAGTATGTTTGATACCTCTCAATCTCCCGTACATTGGTCGTCTCTGGCCTTTCTTGTGTTCGAAGTAAGCGTGACCGAGATTCATGTACGGATATTTTCTCTCGATTTGTCTTCATTATGAGATGGCGTTTTCAGGATATGGGGTTACGACTCAGTTTTTTGACTTATTGGTTCAGGCACTTGTTCTCATAAGTAATCGCATGAGTGCTTGTTTCAACTCGAACTTAGGGCTTCACTATTCAGTGGGAGTTGACCATGGTGAATATAATTTTGAGTCTCTTAACTCCGAATACAGACCTGGTTTTGTTCTTGTGTCCCTATTTAAGAGTTCACACCATATCCAAGTAATATGTCTGGGTGCCAATCTGCAACAGACAGCTAGTGTCAATTGTGGAAAACCTGATGGAGGTAACCAAAAATATGCAGGTTGCTTGATAGTTATCAGACTATCCGTCATTGCGTAGTAAATTATACAAGCGGGCCTAGGCAGTGACCATAAGTGTCACTGTTGTCTGATTGTATTAGAGCAATATGGTACTCCACTGCAGCTACCCGGGTCCGTGGAAAAACCTTCCACCGTAATTGTCGATCAAACGAGACCTATCTTTTATCCTGCGTAGCTTTATTCCCACCCAAAGTTTCGTCTCGGTAAAAAACGGTTATGCCTCGACTTCATTCCAGTCCTCCCATTCTAGTGTTTTAGCGAATGAACCAGCGAGGGTACATAGTGTCTGAAATATCCAAAATGAGCAACAACACGCATAGCGCGCCTTATTAAGAGCAAATATATTCTGAAAATTCGGATGTCCTCTGGGCACACTACTAGAAAGTGGCACTCAGCGGTACTGCAACACGATTGGCTGTTGGGGCCATAATTTTGACCCGTCAGAGCTCGTCTAGTGACCCAATCACGTGTGAGTTAGGCTGACTGACCGTTGCGGCACCTAACTGCCAGTGGTAAGACGGTTTTAATGTAGGATTCCGTATGGCACAATTGCGGAATGTCGTTTCAGCCTGAATGAATCACGCGAATCGAACGAGTGACGCGTGCAGCCGAATTCCGAAATCAACCCAAATTATTGGCATCGTTCGACATACTATGCTTATAAAAGAAACGGCACCGACCAGGGCGCATACTGGATGTACACAAGGTGTAACTAAAGCAGTAAACCGTTCTGTCAACTTGACGATCCCATTTTAGTGGGTCATCAGTCAACCGACGCCTAACACTGATTAGGCCGCTGGCACAGATCCGTCTCGACCAACCTTGCGATCAAGAGTAAGATGTTGTCCAGCCAATTAATTTACGGATTGTTTTCTGAAACGATACATCACATCACCCTCTAGCTCAACTAACCATCGTAAAGAATAAAGCAAACCCAAATACCATGTATTACTGCATCACTCCTCACTAACTTCCTTCTTCTCTTTCCAGTGCTGTGAACAGAATTCCATATAATGAATATGACTTGAGTTTATAATCTCTTGGATAAATCTGTACAGTCAATAAACAAAATCTGCAATATAGTGTCATTTCTTTTTCACAACGCTGGATCGGCTTTTAGTGCGCTTTTCCGCGGATTTTTTACAGTACTTTTCAGCCAAACGGTCTAGCAATTCATCTGTTGACTTAAGATGCTTGTCGCGATTAGCTAGGATAGCAGAGACAAGGGATTCATCAGTTGCACGAGATTTTTGTTCACAGGCGAACAGCTTTTCTTCTTTGAGTGCCTTTTTAGCCCGCTTGGCTTTTTTCGACGGATGTTCATCCATGAATTGCGAGTAGGCTTGTACCCTCCCTTGTTTGATCAAAGTGTCGACCAAGCGGCGAATTCGTGCTTCGTCCTCGTAGGATGCAAAGAGGAGGGTTTCCAAAATGACATCCATATCCCCTTTGCAGCGTTCGTAAATATCCGCTAAATCATTTAGCTCTGATTCGCTGTTTCTGTACTTCTCCCGAAATTCATCTATTTGCTTCGTTGTTACTCGTGGAAACATGAGCTGCCAGTACTGGATCCAGTCCTCATAAGACTTGCTTGTAATGGTGCTATCTTCATCAACAATCCCTGTAAATAACCGATGTCAAAATAAAGGCATCTAATTGACAAATACCTGTTTCGTCATACACCTTGCGTTTCTCATCGTCGGAGAGAATTGCATATACTTTTGATAAAACTTGGAATTGTGCCGTAGCTTCTTTCTTCAATTCACCATTATGCTTATCCGGATGATGTAGGAGAGACATTTTGTAGAAAGCCTTGCGCACTTAAGGAGAGAAACAGGTTTATATGGATGGGTTTGATGCTTACATTCGGCCGATGTGCATTCTTTCTTGACTCCAAGTATGGCATACAAGTCGATGCAGTGAAAATGAGTCTGGCATTCAGTAAGCAGATCTGTCATACTGGAGCGAATCAGCTGAAGCAGAAAATTAATGTTAGGTGATCCGTATGAAATCATGGCATCCAGTTGAACACACATGGGATAGAACCAAATGTTTTATTTTTGAGAACCGTGGAAAATGGTTAGCACAACGTAGAAGTTCACTCCCATGAACATCTAAACGGTTTTTTAACTCCCTCGTTGTTCCACCATGATTCTGGAGCAAATATCAGCTCACCTAGTAGGTGTCCGTGAATTATCTCACTAACGAAGTATTAGCTTACACAGTAACGTCCGCAACATGTTAAGCAGATGTCGTTCGAGAAAGAAATTTATCTCAGTCCATTTGTTGAAATTAAGCAAATAACCCGGTGAGTCCGTTGATGACCCGCAAGGCCGTACCTGTGATAGCTTACGCGTCCAAATGTTGCACGCGACAATAGTGACCCGGGTACAACCTTCCTGTGATCCTCCTGTCGAATGCCCCTGACGCAGAATGAGGATTATTATTTTCCAAGCTTGATTGGAAGCTGTTGGAGCAGGGGAACACTGGTTATCTATGGGTTTCAAATTCATTTTTCGGATGAGTTCCAGCCAATCGTCCCGAACGAAATTACCTTCACCTCTAGAATTCGTTATTTTCCTATCCGTTGAGCAGCAAACCTCTGAGACTAAGCTCGTCCCTAGTAACTTGACTGAGATCAAGCAATAGCTGTTTGCTTTCCTCGTACAGATCGATGTATGTAAACAATATATTAAGGCACAAGGGTGTCTAAGGACGTTTGGCGTTGATGACACTAGGTTAGCAGACGAAAGAAAGAAAGCTTTCAGCTGTAGCACCCTTCCGGTGTCTAGCTACCATGCCACCCGAAGGAAGCACGAGGGCTGGGATACTGCCTGGTTGCCCAAGCCTAGACAGGGGAAATCGAGTGGCGGAGGTCGGATTCGAACCACGGACCTTCCAGTCAGTAAATTTGCGCTCTAACCACTTGGGCCCAATACGACGAATACATGCGCTCAGCCCACCACACAACGATGAGGGAATGAAACGTTGGTAAAAGGTGAAAAGAACATAGGAGGGACGCAGCGCGAAGCCAAGGAAAACGATTAAGAGTATAGTGCATAGATCACCATAGCTGAGCACCACGTAGTGAGGCACCATGAGCGGCGTCCTCTGTGAGCCTCACTTGACCTAACCGCATCGCACGACGGGCGGATTTAGCTGGGAAATCACATGTGCGCCACTGGGATGGGTTGCGTGCAACGTTCTACAGGATTTTCAACCACCCACAAGGAGGACCTCGTGAACCCCAGTCAGGAAGGTAGGGAGATCCCACAGCACTCCCTTTGGTTGGGTATGCATAGTGCAAATCCCAATCAACGCAAATGTCATTTTACTCTGTAACGCCAAAGAATCCAATACACGACTAAGTACCAGGTTCCGCATCACTGCTGCAGACTCGCAGCAGGCAGCTCACTCTTGATATCCCTGGGGACCTATGTGATAGAATACTTGAAGATGCCTGAGGTCCTCGGATCGGAGAGGGCCAAACATCAAGACAGCTCTTGCAACTGCCTTGTAAGGGCGACCCTTTAGCTTCAACAAAATTCGATTCTTACACCACAGACGACGCAAACTGGCAAACGCTACTCGCGTCTTGATCATGCACGCACTAAATTCATCTGTTACAGTACAATCACTGCTTATGCAGCTGCTAATATATGTGAACCGACGAATAAACGCAAGCTCTTCATTCTGAAATTTCAGATAATCACAACAAGGAGGGAATCTTGAAGTAGGACTTCGCACTTGGAAGGGGCGAATCGCATGCCAAAACAGAGGATCGCCTCTAATGTTCTGGTTAAATCATTTTGCGCGGAAAGTAGTTGTCAAATAACAAAACTGTATCGCCGCATAATACAAATTCACGAAGTGTTCGAGTGCACTGGAATCCACAACCAACATCGGAAATGTTTCCGTACATACGCTAAAATAAATTGCACAAGTGACACTCGGACGCCTTTTAAAGCAAAACTGTGCCGGCTGCATATTCCAAATCCACTAATCTCTAGAAGCGATTTCGATATCTAGATTCCCCTTAAGTGTGCATTCCATGATCACGTCGATGATAAAACTGGATGAAAAAAGAAAGAGGATACACACGACCGAATCCACTAGTTGTCAGGACGCTTCTGAACTGTTCATTGCGCACCCTAGCATGACCGGAGGTGTGGGAGTGAAAGGCACAAGGAACGTTTAAGAACTTCAAGGGCGTCTTCCTCTGGCGAGGAACACTTAGGAGAGATAATCTATCCACGCAGTCAAAAGCTCGTATACAGAGGAAAAAACCGCGATAGCTTTCGGAGTTATAAGTGACGCCGCCCAAGCATTCAACGTCGTTGGCGATGTTGCGGAAGATAGGTACCTCGGATGCGCTGCATAAATTGTTCATCTGCTTGTGATCTGTGTGCAGAAAAACTTCCAGACTCAGTGAACTGACCGACAGCTAAACTTGACGTAATGTGAAAAAAGCTCTGATCAATGCATCCTCCGACAGGTCGAAGCCCTACTTAGTGTTCTCGGAGTTGCGCCTCACGTGTTCAAGACAGACATCGCATTATAAGGGGAGCAAGTAGCCGCGTTACGATAGTCATGGGATTTATACCCGCATGGTTGGAACAATCGGTTCCGGTACCCTTTCTGCACACATGTACGACTAACGATTGGCTCAAATTCCATGGAACACGATCTTTCTAAACAAGCATCAATAACCTAGACAAAGCGTAACACAAAGATTATCCTCCATGTTTGAACAACACTTGGGAGAAGTCCATCTGGTCCCGCAGTCCGATTATGTTTCCGTTGAGAAACGAATATTAGGACTTCATCAACCGAAGGAGGGTCTAAACCTACAGAGCACTGCTCAAAATGAGCAGGTCAAGTGAAAGCTACAATGAAAGAGGGCAAGCTAAATTCCTGTTTAAAATATCCCGCTCAGCTATCAAGACGCTGGTCTCTATTATACATCACATTTCTGTCAGCAAGGTCAGATTTCTCAAAATAATCCCAGATTGTCCCAAACTTACTGAGACCCACAAACTCCACTAAAAACGCTGTAGGGAAACCATCAAGCATCTGAGCCACAAAAGCCAGCTAACAACAGGACGCTCAACCGGTCAATCAGCCTAGCAACGACCGACGATGATGAGTCTCCACACCGATCGGACAGCCTGGATTCAAGGTCAAAAGTGTGCTTTAAGTACCGCGATGATCTTTGAAATTTTTAAACTGGCTTGTTCGCAATAAAGCTCGTGTTTCTTGTTGATGGGTCTTATTCCCACACTAAGTCACTGGAGCGGGGAGAAAAGTTAGTTACGACGGAAGGTATCTAGGGTTTAGTTTTGCGTATAAGGTGATCCGAGCCACACTGACCTTTTCCATTTCCTGAGCTCTCCCTGTCCACACATAAGATACGCTTAAGATACCGTCCAATCGATCGTCCAGCCGAACTATCCTCTGAACCAGGATGAACAGAGCACCTCGCGACACGAGTGACAATGACCCCATTCAGTTCACTTAAACTCACCAGCCATAAACCATATACTATTGGTATACTGGTTCCGGCTGCTACAGTTTCCATCACCGGTCGCTTCTACATAGCCCAGGGCTGGGCGAATAGAGTTCTGCAAAGCGGATGTTCCTCTGGCATGTGCAGTGCATGTACTCAAAGCGGAACCTACGAAATATGAGTAATTCATCCATAGCGGGACAGTTCCTTCGTCCTAAAACCATCTGACATACCTCAGCATTGCTAAACTGATGTTCCCACCAGATCCGACCAGTGATTCGAAGACACCAATGACCAAACACTGACAGCTTTCGTATGTCCTTCCTGATCCATAAAGAACAGTGTGTAACGCACTGCCGCTGTGTAAACTCCGTCCTTGACAGACAAACTGACGTCAAGTTTGCCCCACTGGTGTCGGGGGTTGAGAAAAGCTGTCCCGGCCTTCCCGATTAGAGCAGTAATCTCATTTTCAGCCAGCCCACCGAATATTATACAACTGCCCAGGGTAAGAAATATAAATCGTTTGACTCGTCTGCAACCAAAGAGGTTTGGATTTGATCCCACCCAGTGTTGTAGCAGCACTTTAAAATTTGCAACTGTACGGCAGAACTGTTTAGGTTATTTAAAATAGGCTGCACTTTCGAAGGATCTGAACTAAGTAGAGTGATATCGTTCGCATACTCAATCTCCGTCAGCGGAAGTCCGGGGAGCATTTCGACCTCCGAGGTCACGGATTCACGGATTGACAAACGGGATCGAGACTTCCACCCAAGATTCCCGTGTCGATTTTGCTCTCGTTGTTCTGCGGATTCTGTGCGTGTAAAAAGCGCAAGCGGAAAAATGGTTTAGCACCGCGTTTTCGGCGAAGGGGATCATATGAAAGAGCATCCCAAATTGGGTGAGCGGTGAACGACTGTCGGAGGTTGGCCGAAATAACAAAAACAGTATGATAAAAATGTGCGTTCTGGGCTTGAGAGTCTTCACGTTTTTCCATGTACTGGTTGGATCAACAGTGAAAAACCTGTTGACCAAGTGCCATAAAACAAGGCACAAGTAAGTATTAGGCTCCCTCGGAGGCGACGATATTCAAGCGGAAAGAGTACCAGCACCTCAAGGTGCGTTTCCTTAGCAACGAGTCTGAGGCCGACAACCATCTTCGTAGCAGCTCGTTGGGTACGCTCAATGAGAGTCACGCCCTTCTTGAGTCCTGAGTAGACAAATAGGTTGGCGTATTCAGGAAGCGGTCTTACGTAGACCCCATGGGGGTCTAGAAATCCAAAGGATTAACATAGAGAAAGGTAGCCCACATCATTCGTGGAATGACGAATGCCTTTGGAGCCAGCTTTTCAAGGTGGAGCGAGAGTAACAGGCTTGACGAGACTCAGATACCTAGATCCGTTGTGGTATCTATCTTCGTAATTTCTTCCGGTTCATTTGCACAATGCACGAAGAAGACTTCCACGGAGTCTCCTCTGAACGAAATATGGATACAATTTTCGTCAGTTGGTGGAAGCCACCAGGCCAGTGACCACTGCTTTTCAAGGTCGGGGGCGAGATAGTTCAGTGGTTAGGGCGCGAATTTACTAATCGGAAGGTCAGTTGTTCGAACCCGACCTCTGCCTCTCGACTTCCCCTGTATGGGCTTGGCCAACATGACAGTATCCCAGCCCTCCTGCTTCATTCGGGTGGTATGGTAGTTGGGCACTGAAAGTGTTATAGCTGAACGTTTTTTTCCAGCGTCGACATCAATTTGGAGGGTACTTGCGTTGGAATTCCGGGATTTCAAGCTGTCCGCAAAAAGTGAAGATTGGCTCTAGAGCCCATCTAGGTCGCTGACGCAGATCAGAAATAGAAATGGTCCAGAAACGGAGCCTTGAGGAACTCCATTGGAGACCGGTGCAGAACAGTAGATCGGGCAGACTTTCACTCAAGATGTTCCGTCTGATGGGAACACTTTAATCCAGCGTGGAACTTTTTGACCCCCATTACACTCGAGCTTGTGGAGCAGCGGAACATTCGGGACTAGACCGAGCGCGTTTGAGAATTCGGAAAATATGGATGCAGTCCATCGTCTGTGGTTCGAGATGAGTTGTCAATAAATACGAGGATGCTGCTCACACAAAAACGGTTTGAGAAGATTCTGTGCTGAGCTGAGGATATCGAGTTATTGGCAGTGAGGTGTCCCGCCTTAAAATGCGTTCCATCACACCACACGGTATGCGAGTGGGGCTAATAAGCCTGCAGAAATAGCAGTGGTCTCAAAACGGAGCCCTGAAGAACTCCAATGGAGACTGGTGCAGAACAGTAGGTCGGGTCTACTTTCACTAGCAATGTTCTGTCTGATAGGAAAGCCTTAACTCAGCGTAGAATTTCCCATTATTACCAGGAAGATTGCCTTCCAACCTGCCACGGCGGTGAAAAGCCTTGTCGGTATACTGGCACTGCGACGATTTTACTTCGTGACAGCTTGCCGTTATAAAATGAACAAA